CCTTGCTTGAATCTAAAGAGCTACATTTGATCTAAGGATCCTCATATGCTCCAAATTAGCCTTACTCTATCTTTAGTCAACCTTAATAAGCCTCTATCTTTAGCATACAGCTTCATTAAGTCCATTCACATTCACCTCCATTCAAACAAAACCTCATCAACAACCTCCACATCTCCATTCACCAACCCAATTCCCTAACACGATATCATAGTGTCATGTAATTATGAATTCGAGGAATTCATCCAAACAACAAAAATGAGATTGTAATCCACCATGTGTGCGAGGCTCTTTTTTTATTTTTGGACAGCAATATTAATATTCCGAAAGGAGTTTCTATTTTGTTTTTAAAATATTCTCTCAGCAGAACGACCAAAAAAATAACCGGTAAAAATAATTTTTTCAACCTTTTTCCTCTCTTTCTCTCGCTGTTTTTATCCAACTTAAGAAGAAGAATTTGTGATGCGTTTACAATGTGTCTAACAATATTCTTCTATAAATGGTGAATCAGAAAAGACAAAAAGAATATTTGGATATAAAAAAATGAAGTAGAATAAAGTCAGAATAAAGATGAATGATTTCTATGTGTAAACAACAAAGTAAAGCAGAGAGAAGTAAAAAAAAATGAAAAATATGATAAAACAAGTTTTATGTGACCAGAATTCTGTTTTGTCTATGGCAATAAATTTATTCTTTAAACAGAAATAAATCTATAGCTTAGGACGTTCATCTTCCATGTTGAATATAAAGCAATTTTTATAAAAAAAAAACTAGAATTTAAAAGTTAAAGTAGAGAAGAATTGATACTCTTGGCTGGGTTTCTGTTTGGAAAAGCAAATGAATAGTTTGAGGATGTCTTTGAAAATGCCGATTTTGTGAGGAATAGTTTGTGGAAATTTAATGAAAAATTCATTGCGTTGGGTAATGACATGCGTGATTGAGGTATGAATTTTTGGGAATTTCTGATGAGTTTTTGTGAGTTGAGGAGTTTTGAATGCTTTTGTAGCACTAAAGCATTCAACAGCACTGAAATGTTGTGAGCACATCGCAAACTTTTGTCATAATGACAGCATATATTGAGTATTGATCGAGGTTTTGGACTCAAATGAAGATTGTCCTTAAAAACACGCAACAGAGGTTTATTTGCGCACTCGGCAAATTAGCCTTGATAGAAATTTGACGCCCAGATTTTAACAATAAAAGCACAATGCCATGGGCTGTCATGTTGAGTCACAATGCCTTAAGTTAAGGTCATGAGCGGTAATACTTCATCAGCTTGTGTCTCATAATCTTCTCATAATTATGCACGAAAATTCATTTGAAGAAGTTAATCTTCATAATTGCAAGACGCATTGGTGATACATCTTCAAAAGTATATGTCCGACCCAAATAACCTCATATTTTGACATCCATCTTAACTCAAGTGTCTCGTAAAAATGCCAATTAAATTATTTTTTATGTTTTTCGAATACGGCGATTATTTAAAATTGTCCTATATCAATCATAGTCATGCCTTAATACAGGGGCATAACTAGGAGGTCTTGAACTCCTTCTAGATTGACAAAGTACTTGAAATTTGCTAGGGTTTACTGATAAAAAGCTTTTAAAATATCTCTTACGATTAAATACAATCAAAAAACCACTCCTGACTACATCCCTGCCTTAACGTGACTCCTAGCCAAAATATTTCGCTGTCTACATGTCATATTGATAAGCACCAACCCGTATCTAATTAAAATTCAATTTGAGTTATCAACAACAGACTTACATGACCAACAAAATCAAGTCACAAGTACAAATTACTGTTATTCTAATTTTCTATATTTACAGGCACTAAGTACAAGATTTGAAAATAAATTAAAAGATTTTTTTTTGTTTTGTTTATTGTCGAAACGAAGTATCTCTCCCTCGAATATATTGGCGCCTTTGACTGATGAAATGAAACAGATGTTTTTTTTTCTTTCTTTCTGTGTGCCTTAATACAAAGCAACTATCTCTTGAAAAAGAATTTTTTTTTTATTCTTATTTTCACTGTTTCTTCTTTTAATTATATGTATACATTCAATTTATGCACAATTACATCTTCAAAGGCGTTCTTATTACTTACTGATAGCAAATATTCCTTTTTTTTATTTTCTTGAATGATTAAAAGCATGTGAAAATTTGCGTAGTCCGATTGAGGTTCAAACGAGATGAAAATTAAATGTAAATATCAGAGAAAAAGAAGACACAAAATAGGCAGTTATAGCTTAGTGTTTCGTGTAGATAGTTTGGAGAATTCTTTCATTTAGAAAGGAAAATATTTTTTTATATACTCGAGATAATTCTTGATATTTTATGGATATTTATCAATTTAAATCTGTGTGGATTTTACTTTTGGAGCTTGGTCAAGAATGAGAGAAGGAAGAAAAAAAGTTTCGATTTACAGATTTGATAAATGAGTGTGTTGCGGTGTTTTTAGCGGCTGTTAGGCTTGTCAAAATTAATTTTCGTTTTGGAGGTCGTTTAAAAATGATGAATATCATTGGAACTCATTTTGGGTTGTGAGATGCTTGATTGTTGAAGGATTCTTGCTGTATAATGTGCTTTTGGTCCTATTGGGTACTATTTTGAAGATACATCAGAATGTACTACAAAATAGTAGGGATTAAGTGTCATAACAAGCAACTAGCTCTTCAAACTCACACTAAACATTCTTACAACAAAAAAACCTTTAAATCAAAGATCAAATTCCACACCAAACCCCTCAAGACGTTATCGATATAAATCGCGGTTAAATGACATTCCATAAAATCATTGGTCAACCGTCTTATAATTAATCAAAGCCTCCAAGTTATTGCACATCAGATATAGCTTGAAAATTGATTTATGTCACATGAGATAAAATCAATATTATTATTACTGCCCATAATCGTATCAATATTTGATGTGGTTCGGTGCCTTTGCAAGCTTCTGTGCAAGGCTTATTGATTTTCTCATAAACCTCAAAAAGGCACAATTTATCATAATTAAAAAGCCATGAGACACAAGAGTGTGAGAAATCCACGCTAAAAATAGTGATAGTAATAAGATTTGCCAAACTTTTTTTTTTCGTTCATGTGTCGCTTCCAAGAGTTGGCAGGTGTCGAATATAAATAAGTTTAAAATGAAATTTATTTTATTTTGCTTATTTTTGTCTGTCGGAGGGAACCATTTGAAATTGATGTCATGAGAATATTTTTATTTATAAGCTAGAAAGTCACTCGATTCTCACGAAATTCACGGACGCAACCAATCAATCTTCATGCTCATTTCAACATGTCTTGCTTGTCCACATAGCCTACAATGTATAATATTATGTGAAATAATTATGATTCATTGATAATCGCGATGAACTAAATATAATAAAAAGAAAATTGAGGATGAAGAAGAATGTGAAGAAGAAGTAAACAGAATGTCGTTAAGAAAGAGAAGTGAAAAGAACTTCTGACTTTATTATTTTTTCCTTGTCGCTTTTGAAATTTTATAAATTGAACCTCAGAGCAGTTATAAGGTTATAATATTAATTTTTTTCTCGCTCAAATTCAAAATCAATAATATAAAATAAATAAAATAAAATATGATCATATATCATTAATAAACGATATGAAATTTATCTGAAGATGAGCATGTTTTTTATGGATATTTTATAGGGGTTTGGTGAGCGTTTTGAGCTCTAAATCGATGGACATAGTTGAATATAGGTTAATGAATCTTCAAGCTTCAATATTTTTGAGCAGAGTCTATTTAGATTGACTATGGGTTGCTTAAGTCTATTAGCGTTGACTAAAGTTAACTCGGGTTGAAAAGGGTGAATTAAGGCTGACTAGAGTCGACCAGGATCGACAAGATCTGACTACAGTTGACAAGAGTTGACTGGGGTTGACTAGAGTCGATTAAGGTGGACTATAGTTGACCAGGGTTGATAAAAGCTGATTTTATTCAACTAAGATTGACAGAAACTGACGAGGATTGACTAAAGTCGACTAGTTTTGATGACAGTGCATTGGAGTATTTAAAATCAACTAAGGTTGACTCGACTAAACATAAATCGGCTTCATCATCGACTACCTGTCCTGAAACTAGCCAAATGCATTTGTACCTTGTAATTGTAAAAGCTAGTATGTGCTCAATTATCCCATCACATAACTTCACACAAGAGTCATTAACCCCAAACCTCCTCCCAAAAATGCGTCCTAGATTCCAAACTCCCAACCAAAATCTAATCTACCAATTTCATTCCTTCATATACGTTCTTGTTCTTGTCATTTATCTTCTTATTCCTTCTGATTCATTCACTATGTGTTATAGAGATTTCGATATGCATACAATAAGCACATATACATAATTTTGACTGTGAATGTATTCAAAAAACGTGTGATAATTCAAAGCATGCACCATACGGTTCTTATACATCTCTACACACAGTCATTCCTCTCATTTTCTCATTCTTCGAACAAGGGAAAAAAAATGACAACTTTTTTTTTCGGCAGAACAGAAATTAATCTCACAGAACAGAAAGGAGAGAAAAAAAAGAATTTTTTTTTGTTAGAGAAATATGGAAGAATGTGACACTAAAATATGATGCCATCAGTGATGGCGTATCGTATGGAGAAGAAGAAGGGATAGAAAGAAAAATACACAAAAATATATTTCACATTTGGGAGCACGTTAAAGTCATTAAAGTTACATAGAAAGAGACGGGAATATCGCACATAGAAGTGCTTCTGGAATTAGAAATAAGCTACACTTTCGGGGTGTATATGATGGAAGCAGCAAAAAAAACTTTTAATTGCTATTTTATACAATGGCAGTTGTTGACAATGAGCGAAATTTAATGACAGTCTTATGTAATTATGATGATGATGATGCTTATGATAAGGAATTGCTTCCTACTCGGCAAACACACACACACACACACACAATTTATACTTTTTTATGTCTAATAAAATTAATTTGTGACTTTTTTTTCTGTGTCTTTATAGGTAAGAGATATTCGGAATCTCTTGCGGGAACGCTGTTACCAGACTGGATAGGTAAGTTTGCTTATTATTTTATTATTTCCATTTTTATTCTTTGTCTCATTAAACTAAGATTTTTTAAAATGAATAAATAATTCGCAATTTTTCCAAAGATATTAAGGTCAACTTTGTATGGTTGAGGGGTTCAAAATCTATCAATTTTTTGGTGTTCTTGTTGATTTTTGTGTGAGTTTTATTTGGTTTAATTGCTGACTAATCGACTTGAACCTTATCCTTACCCAGAACTACGCCTTAATTAGAGTACACCCAACATGGAGATCAGTATTATTCCTCCATTTGGTTAAGGTTGATACAACTAAGATATATCTTCAACTAGTTGTGGATATCCACAAAATCAAATCCAGAACCCTATCAAAAATACAACCCACGATCAGATTCACAAGCTTAACTCAATCTCAATATTCACAATTCTGCATTATTAAGGTAATCACGTACAAAAACAGAATAAGAAGCAGAACATCAACCGAGGTGTTTTCCTTTCTCTATATTTACTTCTTTTCGCTTTCAATCTCGCTGACCATCATGATTAAACAGCGTAAATCCTCTCTTTAGATTTAACATCTTTTTACTTATATTTTTTTTTATAAGTAGGCATATAAAGACTACTTGCATAAGTGCTTATTTCTTTATCATCTGTTATTAATAGGAGCGAATTTCCTGATGAACATTTTTTTCAATTAAATTGTCGAGGATGAGGGGTTTTGATTAGCTTTGTGGGAAACTGTGAAAGGTAATCGATTGAGTAAGCTTATGTAAGCCCAATATGAATCTGATTAATCCAATTTGGACCCCCTTTAGACCTCATTCTAAAGAATTTTTAAAGATTAGATCAAAAATTGGCCAAATTCCAACAAACTCCATCCAAAAAAACTTTTCTAATTCAATTACTATTTCCAAATCTAGTAAGAATCTATTAGTCATTACTACAAACGCCCTTGACATACAGAAAACTTCCATTCCAACAATTCTGTCTCTGCCAAAACTTTTATGACTCATAACCATTTAGAATCTCATTCTAACTTCATCTGTGACATCATTTTATGTCACCAAAACCTCAAACTTTCAAGTGAGTCTCATTAAAGAGTCTTCTTCGTCTTGAAAATTATCTTAATTGATTATTTCTTGCTACATGTTAATAAATTTAGCACAAGCAATGTCAAAACATTTTCTCTACATTCTAGACAAGATACAAGACTTAATCGAACAACAGAATTCTGAGCTTATTAGCGAGAATTTAGGTCATGGTTAATTAATTGACTTGACCTAAACTGATAACATTAGCCGGAATTCCATAACACTATGTTACCCATTTCTAAGCTTGAATGACTCGAAATGTCTTTGGAAAAATGCGTAATCGTACAGTGACATGCGATTTGAGTTATTTATTGTTCATATATATATTTTTTTATGTTTTATTAATTTGATTTGAAGGAAATCGTAATTTTTTTGAAGAATTTTTGATATTCGTTGCCACATGATTTCGTATAAATTTAAATTTCAATTAAGTTTTCATTCACGTAATTTAAAATAAAAAAAGATTTCATTTTTTTTGTTTGATTTTATTTAACTTAAGTTGCTATACTTACCTAACCAAAAGAACGTTACACAAAAAAAAAAGTCTGGGAATTGCGTTTGAATTATTGAATATTTAATAATAAATATATTTCATAAGTCATAATAATCTAAATAATTATTGAAAGATAATTTTTTGTGAAAAAAGGTATAGTATACACATACGTTCTACATGTCTGATGTTCGTTTTTGTTCTTGCATGCTTCTCTTTATATATTTTTACTTTAATAGTCTAGTCTGTTTAAACAGAATAATTTTTTTTGTGAATTTTAACAAAAGAAATATGTTTGTGAGATTTGATAAGTGTGTAATGCTATTTTTTGTGTTGCTAGGGTGATGTGGCGCTGAATTTTGACTCAAAAGCTATTGACTGTCTTGCTTCATATCAGTTCATAATTGTGAATCACAGGATAGCTAGTGACACATAGTTTTTTGTACTAGTGACAAAAAAAGAACCAAAATTTGCTATAGTAAGGCCTCGAACTTAAGATTTGCTGTGTTACAATGTTCAGTAGCAGAAGCACTAGGCTGATGTGTTAGGCACGTAGTCAGAAGGGGGTTTGGGGATTTGGGTAATAAATCTCCCTTCACTAACAGAAATTTTTTCATTTTGCTAGGGTTTTTCAAAAAAAAAATTGTCTCCCCCTTCAAATTCCTGGCTACGCCCCTGAGCCTAGTCAATTTTAACACTAGCTAGTCATCTAAGATGGTACTCGAATGGCACAAGTCGGTAAATCGATCCAAAATCCAGCACCAAGCCAGTGTGACTCTGACGTGGTGCTGTATTCAATTCAAAGCTAGCACCATCCCGGCCTGACACCATATTTCTATACCGACTGGTGCTTTTTGGAGTAGCTACCAAAAACTAGCGCTTAGTTACATTTACCAATGCCATACTCAATCCCCCATCCACCCATTTATGCCACAACAACAAAAAACCTCCAGTCTCATTATTCTAATTAAAAATAAAACAGAAACAATCAAAGAAGAAAACCTCACACAAAAAAATTGTCTATGTGTAGTCTTTAAATAATTTTTTTTTTGTTAACATAGCGCATTATAAATTATATTATCTCTTAAGTTATTTTTATACACGCATGAGGATGACGTCACATGAACAAAAAAAAATCTCATTGATAGAAGTAAGAGTGCTTCTGCCTCATCCACACACAAACACACACATGAAAAAAAAATTATTTTCTCGGCTAATAAATGTGTAAACATAAAAAGCATTTAACAGACTGTTTAAGTTATCTTTTATAACCTTATTAACAATGAATGTAATAGCTATGTTTACAATTAGAAATAATAAAGAGATTCGAGAGTGCCGATGAGGATGAAAAGGTGTATTTGATCTTTCAATTTTTATTATTGCTATAATTTTGGGCGCCACTTCTCAACTCCTCCAAATGTTTATTTGTGACTTATTATTTTCTTTTTGGAAGTTATCAATGAATGAATAAGAAAATATTCCGCGCGCTCACTTCTTTCTTTTTTTTTTGGTGAATTTTAAGATGTTTAAAAAAGAATCTTTTGATATGTTTATTAGACAGTTTCTTAAAAGAGCATCAGTGTAAATTATAAGTTGAAAAATAATTTAAAGCATAGACGAATATTTTTTTTATGGATCGAATGTTTGGAATTTTTCTACATAAATTAATGTTTACTTTCGTTTGTCGTCGCGAGGAATGGACGAAATAGGAAGTGAGTTTGGAATTAATTTTTTTATGCAGTTTGAATTATGATGATCAGTTTGATGACATAAGGGGAAGTTTATTAGAGGTGTCATGTGAGATTTGGATGGGAATTAGATACGATTGCGGTTGGATACTAGTTCTGAAGTAAGCGATTAATCCCCAAAGGCACAATGCGTAAGAACAAACGTCTAGGATAGCGCTATCGCAAAACCATTGCAGATTTGGTGAAATCTGGTATGGTGCCGCGTTAGTGCTGCCCTGGACATTAGATTGACAGTCATTCTTAAGCTGTGTGCCTTTCGGGAATGCTTTTTAATCAAATATGTTAATTTTAATGCTTTGACAGACCTTTGATCACCTTTAGTCATCAAAATCTAACATCAAAGCCTCAAAGCCTCACTATTCCGCTAATATCTCACCCCATTTCCCATGTCATACCCACAATACCCTCTAATTATCCATACAATGTAAAAATAATCTTACATTTTCGTTTAACCTTCATTAAAATCAATTTATCTTAAACAACAATAATTAAAAGCTATTTTAAAAATTATCTTTAATGATAAACAACAAAAGCTGACACAACATCAAAGCATTTTTAATCGGAATAATTATAAATTTCAATTACTTTAACAGCAATAAAACTTAATTGTCAATATAAAAAGATTAAAATAATAAAAATTGCAAATTAAAATATCACTTAAACTAGAAAAATTATTTTGAATTATTGCTGCTGATATTCAAATGACTTTTAATGGCGTGTAGATTATAAGAAATATAACAAGAAGACATACGATGTGTGTGATGAGGATGATGCCATAAGGCAAAAAAAATTAATATACAACTGATGCAGTCAGAGATTATACATATTTTTCCATTTCATTAATGCTTAAAGAACAGCGATATTGATGACAATGAATTTTAATCAGCTTGTGAGAGTCATCTTAATTTATATTAATTTTTAATTTTAATTATTGGTGGTTTTTGAGCTGGATTTTAATGGATGTTGGGGTATTGGGCACTTTTGGTGAAGCGACGGAATTATATTGAGGTATTGACACTTTAGAGGGGTTCAATAAGTTTAAATGAGGATTCTGGACTAGATTCGAAGTCAAATCAGCATCTATAATTTATTGTAGGTTTCCTAGTAAGCCAATATCTCCTCAGACCGTAAAACATTGAAAGTCATCCAAAAATGCGCCTTAGCCACCAACCAGCAATAACTTCTCATCATTTTCACAACTTTTAATCCCATTTCTCATCATTTTTTGCATGAATTATTAAAATTATCTATATTAATTAATTAATTACATGTCTACTTTGTAGTATATGATTCATAGACTATTTATGCTACTTAATTAATGACCAAGTCATGCATTACCATAAAGCCAACAACAACAATTGCACGTGTGTGCTTCCTTATGCATTAAAATGTATATTTATTTATTATCAAAATTTATAAGCAAAACAAAAGTCTCAAAACTCATAAAATATCCCATTTATGGACAATATTCCACTCTCATATAAATCGTCATTAGTATGTGTGCATGTAGATGTGTATTTTTCTTCTCATTTATTTGCCATTTAACCAATGGATATGAATGTAGATGTGCAACGATGAAATGAGAATAAAAAAAAGAATAAGAAGAGTTCACAACAAAACGATGAAAACCATTAATTTAGTAAATGTACAAAAAATAACAAAGTTATAAATATTTCATTTTC